AAAATTACCGGCCGAAAAATTTTTCGGCTAATTTTTTTATAGGTGTCCCAGGAATAATGAAAACAGCTGTAATACATGCGAAAAATAAATACAAAGTTCGGGACGTAGCCCGTGATACATATTATTTTTTGATGTACTTCGATAACAATAAATTTACGAAATATCCACGAAAAAATAAACTGATTATTTATGTAAAATTGAGCCACCTGGTCAGCTTTATTATATAAAAAGAAATTACAAGATAAAAATATACATATTTTTAGAAATTTTTATCTGATTTAAGAATTTCTTGGTGGAGAATATGTCGTCGATGTTGATGGAGTTCGCTCTTCACACGTTGGTAGAAGATTGATCTCATCTTTTATACTTACTGACATTCTGACAATCTCTTCAACTATAGCCCTTAACTTGAGACTACTCCTTAAAAATTCTTCAAAAACCTGATGTGTGGAAATTTGTAAAGGTATAGTAATCTTGCAAATTCGATAAACCCGGTAAAAAACACCTTCAAATAAATCTAACATAGAAACGAATATACGTTCTCCTATCACCTGGATTCCTAAGACGGGAATTTTTTCTAATTCACAATATATTAACCTTGCCTCGGAAGAAGTGTCCTCTCTATTTTCAAAAAAAATATTATAACGTTCATCGAAACAATCCTTACAAATACGAACCAGCTTCTTCCAATCTAAAAATTTCCTTATTTGGTTCTGGAAATAAGCATGAAATCTCCACTAAAACCAACTCATTTGCCTCTATATCTAATTTCAATAAAACTTGAAGGTCAGGTTTCTTCCCTAAATTCATAGAACTCATCTGATTTTTTCTACTCTGTGAAGATTTGCTTGTCTGTTCGGACCATGCTCATTTTAGATACCATTTAGAGTATGTAAAAAGCGGATCCAGTACTTTGGATACCGCATGAATTACATAAGAATTCTCACTATAATCTTCTTCTGTTAGTAATGGCCTACAACTCCAAATGCGACGTCTGAAGTTAAAAAAATAGTAAGTTATAACTGATATGAGAATACTTGTGATTTCATATTAACTTACAATTAGTGATAGGCAACGCGCGTGATCCGTGCGTGATTTTTAATATAAGATTATCTGGCCTGCGTTAGTATATTACCCGGCCTACATTAATATATCATCTGGCCTGCATTAACATAAGTGGGCCAATTTCTATTTTTTTTTTTTTCCCCTTTAGTATTAGTGTTAGTAAAAATTTTTTTTCTTTCCACTTCTCTACGAGAAGATGTTATTAGATTGGCGATATCCTATTGTAGGGTGGTGGTCTGATAGTGTTGTTCTGAGAGAGATAGTGTTTCTATGATGAAACCGTTCACGATATGTTCATATGGATATATCTGCTCAGTGCGGCCGATCACTTGTAAATATTCTCAAAGTAACTGCGAGATGCCACTCCTCGATATTACGCATAAAGCCTTTTGTATACCAACAATCGTAAAGTAATAAAGAAGCCTAAAGGCAAGATGGCCTAAATGGAAAAA